GCACTGTGACTGCGTAAGAAACAGTTTATCAGAAAGATGATTTCTTCCTCTAAATTTTGGCCAAAGAAAATACACATAATATAAGCACATCTATATATTTGTTAGAAATTAACCTAATCCGAGCAAAGATTGGAGGAAGCTAAAAGTACAAGCTAAACAAAACTACTATGCAAATTAATACCAGTTGAAAAAGTGGGTCTGGCTAAGGAGAAAGACAAATAGATTCTGGCAGTCGCAAGGCTCGCCAGATTGGGTGGCATGCCTGGTGCAAGGTCTCCTGCTGGAGAATGTAATGATCATATGTAATTAACATGACATAAAAAGCCAAAAGGGTGATACTACTCATTGTTGTCGCATTTGCCATACCCACGCAGTCAATACTAAATCGTAACTGCAATCATAACACATCCTATCTATTTTGAAGTTGTAATGCAAAGAGAGGTTGTAGGAAACAAATTGGTTTGCAGTTATAGGATCACGCTATTCGCCACCCTGGGTGAGGAATAGTTATTCTTCACCCCCTCTTTATTTTGACATCAATTCGCCGTATTTTTACGTTTCGTAAATTTTGTCTTATTTCATACATAAAAAGAGAACGTAAGAAAATATGTACTCGCTGTACAAAATATTTTATGTTACGTAAAATTACGAATGTAAAACACAGTGTAAAACATACATAAAATGTGATTTTTCTGGTCTTATAACCTATATTTTTAATTTTTTTTATACCAAATTTTACATATTGAATCAATATGCATGTAACTATTTATATTCTAAACATAATTTATTTAGAAAGCGATCGTAAGATTACCTCGAATGAAGAATAATTTATTATGCACCCTGGACGATGAATAGTAACACTATATATATGTGCATACCAAATACCTACGGAGTTTCATCATGGACGAATGTAAAGTGAATATACATCATAGAGGTGAACACACATGATAGTGTAAACAAGATGATGAAATACCTGGCCGAACTCTTTTTTATATCCATTGGTCTAATCTTTATGGTTTAACACACTTGACTTTCGTGAACTATCTTTAGTACTGCGAACGAATGCAAATATATCTAGAAAGTAGAAACCACAATCACCAAGAAAAAATAGAAATCTTGAGCCCAAATATCAAAATGATCAAGAAATTTTACATAGGTACCTTGGATATAACTGCCTATTAACAAAAGGAGGCACTGAGAGTAACCTGCTTATAATATGTGCCTTCAACCTGGAGAGACCAGTTTACAAATGAATAGGCAAATAAGGTTAACATGAATGTTTTACGGTTGAAAATTTGGAAGAACTCATTGGGTCCAAAAAAATTGGGGCGAGTAGGCAGGAGGTACATATTTTGTGCCAAGACATATCACTTCATGCTAAGTCTAGTAATCTAGAAAAATGAACTTTGATAGCAAGAAATGGACTCAAGGCAGAGGATCCCTACAATAATTTTACCAGGAAAAATGATGACAAGCAGAAGCAATCCAACTTGCGTTGAAATGAAAGATTGGCAATGCCTTAATACTTAAATTACAACATTCTACTTGTCACCTCCTAGTCTTGAAGCCATTGAAGCTAATCCATAGTACAACCAAAGAAGGGGGAAATGGGCATGGATACTACTTGAAACGCGGTGTGAAGGACATTTACAACTTATCTACTGAAGCAAAACTTGGGCTTGCTAATCACACTGGTGCAAACATAACCTCGCATATCTGGTTCTGCGGCGTCAGCACTTCTGATCGGCTCAGCATGAGCAGTTTCCTTGGTCCTGTTTTTAGTTTCTGCATGATTTCATTTTAAGATGAATAAATATTACTCCCTTTCATTCTGGTAATAAATATGTCATTACCTAGTCAGTTTATGCTTGTGTACAAAATTAAGGAAACATGTTAACATGCAGTGCAAAATGATATTTTTAGCAGGGCCTACTGGAAGTGTGTGCTATGTAACACAGTTGTATCTCTGTGGAGCATACCTCAATTTGGTCCACTTTGATGTAGTCTACAACAATGTTGACCATGTCTGAAGTATTTGTTTGCTGCATATTCAAGAACAAACTTAGTAATATGTATGTACTACGTTGACTTCTCCCAGAGATTAGGTGCAGAAATTTAATTCTAAAATATGAAGTAACTGGGTCCAACTCATCGACAGCTACCGAGGTTCTGAATTTTTTGTCAGACAGTGTAATACTTTAGTTTAGGTTAGAAACTTAGAATCATTAAGTGTAATTACTTTGGTGGTGAGTAAGAGCTTCTTTTGTAATTCTAGGTGAAAATTGTATCCCTATCCGTTGAAAGAATTGACAGGAATTGGCAAAAGAAAATAAAAAGAGGCAGAATTAACAGTGCCGATTACTGACAACAACAGAATAATTCAACCGATTTAGTCACCTTATCCATGTTGGGCACGAGGTATTGCAACCTTCTAAGCCTCTTGATAATCCTTTTTCTTCTTTCCTATATAAGCATCACAAGCAAGAAAATGATTCAGTTTAAACATCCGATCGATAGCGAGCATGCAAGGAGTAATGGTAATGTTAAGTCACGTTGGAGTCGATAATGTCGCGGAGAAAGCTAACTTACCCTCTCAGCGATGCTTCGCGAGTGAGTGGCGCAGCCACACTTGGCGCGGACTCTATAGGCAACGGAGTCCTACTGCAGCTGCAGGTAGTCGTCCATGCCGGGCATGTCCAGAGACGAGCCAAATTGAATTTGGAGCAAGGTGTTAGAAGCATAAACAATGGCAGCACAGAGTATGGATGAGGTATGTCAAAAACGTACTACCTGGGAGTCGATGTTGCTGAAGATGGTGACCATGCTGTCGTCGCCGTCGGCCATCACCTTGGCCTTCTTGTCATCTTGTGACACCACCATCGCACGCAAAAGAGATCAACACATGCAAAAAAAAGGATGGGTGGACCTAACCATGTGACACCTTTCTTTCTTTGATTACCCATGACGTGTGTTGACCTCAAAAAGACCCTTTGGTGGTGTAATCCACATCTCTCTACTCTCTGTATCAATATCCGGCACAATATCTTTAGCAAATGGAATCCACACGTGCTGGCGAGATGGAGTTGAATCCTGATTTTCTAAACGTTCTCACTACAGGTTGAGAAACCACCAATAAGATCCAGTCTAGGGTCCTAGCAAGCGTCGTTGAGGTCCAGTACCGTGATGGTCACATCAAGGGGAATGAACACATTTAGAGGGCAGATCACGAAGGCATACTTTCTCCTTCCCCTGTCCATCTCCATCCCCCTGCCTCCCCCCTCCCTCCCCGCTCTCACTAAAAACAACACATCAACGGTGGATCTCAGGGCAGTGATTGGAGGAGGAGGCTAAATGAATCCATGAGCCGGGGTGACGAGGGCCTTCCGCATTACCTGGGTGAAGAGGAGGGAGGCGAACAAGCCAACAAGGAAGAAGAGGCAGTTGTAGCAGGCCATCGCCGCCGCTCCCGATGGCTCAATCACCCTTCATGGCCACAAGGGGCTGGCACAAGGAAGGATCGGTCGTGATCCGGTGGGGAGGAGGAGGCGCGAATGAGTGGCGGCGGCGACGGCCCGATCTGCCTGGCCTCCTCCCGTCGAAGGCGTGCTCCGCCGGGAACAATGGCGTGGGCTTCCTCTTCTCCCGAGGCGTGACGCGCGAGCTCGATGGTGAAGCGGCGGCGCGAGTGGCAGGCCATTGACG